TTTAATTCTCCATAGATCTAACAAACCCCACATTAACCACCGGGTTTAACTATAATGAGCAGCAAGCTCCTCTGTCTCTACAGAGTGCTTACCTGATGTGTCCAGGTGGGGTCTTGTAGGCCTCCTTAAGCCCCTGCCCACTTACTGTCTTTGTAACCCTGGCAGAAGAGCATAGCAAGCAGCCAGGATTCATAAGTCAGGCCACCTACCTGCAAGTCCCAGTGCCACTTCTCATCTGAAGTGTCACATACATATGGAAAGTTAGTTAACCTCTCTGTGCTGCAGTGTCCCCATCTAAAATTGAGAATATAATAGGAATCTGCCTCAGTAGGCAGTTGAGGTCATTGAACTAGTGAGCTGTGCAACAGTGAGCAGGAAGCACCAAGTGTGGATAACAGCACATCATCTCCATGAGGTCTTCCATGAGTGCTCCACACAGCAGCTCCTTATCCAGCTCTGTCTATCTCCCATCTCCTTTCTCTTCATTATCCACTCAGATCCATCACCAAGGATGGGCTAAATGTTTTCTCTCTCCCAGGAGAATGAAAACTCCATGGGGGCATTTCTGCCCATCATCCATTGCTGTATCCACAAAAATTAGAATTACTGCTTGGTACTTAACAGGCCCTAAAAAAAAAATGAATATGTGAAACTTAACTTACTATTGTATAAGCTTAGGCACCAGTTTTCTCATCTGGAAAATAGGATTGATGCCTCCACCCCCACAATGATGGACAATTATAGGAGGTGACATTTGTGAGCATGGCCACTTCAGTCCTTGGTATTTGGTCACCTGAGGCTGGCTGATGGGAGAGGGCCAGTGTTGGGCTGACTCAGGCAGGGCTTGAAATGGTTAATCCTTAACTCTCCCTTGTAGCAGGCCAGGCTGGGCTCCAGGGCCCCTGGCAGCTGTCCAGGTACAGCATGAATGTCAGAGGTGTGTGTCTGCAGAGCCGCCCTGGTCCTAATGTGGTCTTGACCCCGGCAGTTGGAGTCTCCCCCACCCGTCCTGCTGAGAGATGCTGCCTGGGCCTGGAGCATTTGGGAGTACAGGAGCTGAACGGTGGGAACCTCCACCCGCCCGGGTCCCACGCCACATCCTGGCCTTGGAGGAGGTGGGCCCGAGGCCTGGACTTTCTTCCCAGCTATTCCCACATGGCCTGTTCTCCCGCCAGCTCAGCTGGGATGCCTGAGCTAGAAGGCTATAGGGACACGTCTTTTTTGTCCCCATACACAAAAAAGGCAGATGCAGTCCTCAGCAGATGGAGGATCTTGATTCAGCTCTGTCATTCCTGAAGCCCAGTCTTCTGGCCTGGCGAACCAATGTGTGCATAGGCTAATGACCCTAGTGTGGCCAAGTCATAGAGCACACACTGAAGGACAATGACTCCAACCAGGCTACTCACATTTCTCCAACTTCTCACAATACCCAGTTTATCAGCAACTTCCCCAAAGTTACTGACCCAGAAAGAGATGGAAGCAGAAACAAAGACTTCAGTACAATTAAAGATAAAATAAATGAAACTCAACATTTGCCCCCGACTTTCTTCATTCTACAACAATCTATGGACCACTACTCTGTGACAGGCACACAACAGTGAGTGGAACACAGACCTGGTCATCACAAATGCTGTCATCAAAGAGCAGAGCACCTGGGCAGCAGACAGGGAGGGGACAGCAATATCTCTGTAGAGCCACGCAGGTATGATACACAGTGTGTGCACAAGACCATAGATTATTGGTCTTGTGAGAAGGAGGGAGTGAGAAATTGGAGAGGGTGGTACTAAGTGCTTACTGGAAACCATGAGTTGGGGAAGAATATAGGAGCTAATGGATAAAATGTATTTCTCATCAACAGACTGCTCAGAATGGCTCTAGGCAGGACACTATCCTCTCAGCCTGCAAGGATTTTACTGAAAACTAAGTCCTCTGAAGGCAGGAGCCTATCCCATCTGTAGTCTCAGTACCTAGAATGAGGACAGACATGCATGCAGATGGCCTTCAGGAAACACTTGAATATGCGAAGGAATAAGCAAATACCCTGGGGAAAAGATCACGACTCACCCTGAGGAATCCCTACTCATATCTCACGGACATTTGGAAAAAATTCTATTTCTCAAGTTCCTCAAGAAGAACTCTCCAACTGGAGCCAAACAAGGTATCTCTCAGCCCCTAGCATGGGTGTACTACCTGGGAACAAACAGTGGGATATTGTGTGTTTTCCAAAGTGCTGCCAGCTTTCCCACACACAGTCATACTCCTTCAGCACACCCTGGACACAGCTGCAGGATCACACACCACTACACACAATGGCCAGGAGCAGGCAGTAAGTGTCAAGGTGCATAGCTCAGTATATACTCACAGAGTCAGATGACTGGCTGGGTTTGTGGAATGGTGCTTAGCTGCTCCAGAGAACAGTAGCTCTAAACGCTGCCTGTGTGTGGGCCTGTGGAGGTAGCCCAGGTTTCAGAGGCAGTGCAGTTAAGATGATCTCCAACTTCTTTCCTTGGGGTCCCCATGCCTGGGCTGCTATTTGGTGCCTTGCATATAATGTGAAGTTAAACAGTGCTTCCCTTTCACCTCCTTGGTCTGAAAATGAAATCTCTTACTGAACCAAAGGGGAATTTGGAAAACCCCAGACTATGTTTCAGAATCCAAGAAGAGTGATATCCTCATACCAAGTTCTGGCTGACTTCTCAGGCCATATGCACTCTAGCTGCCCAAGCCTTGCATGCTCTGCCTCTCACATTCTTAACTCCTGCCTTTCCTAAAGATTCGTACCTGGAGAACATGTAGCCATCCTTCAGACTCAGATCAAATGTCATCACTTCTATAAAGTTTCGCTAACCACTCCTTCCCCCTGTATCATCTCTGCCGCCTCAGGACACCCCGATGTCACACTTAGCATAATATTTGAAAACTGCCGTTCTTCTGGACTCTTTCTAGTCTATAAGATTAGAAATATAAGAATTTCAGAATACAAGGCTATGTATGAGGCTTAATTTTTCAATCTTAGTCTGTCTTGGTCTATTTATGCTGCTGTAACAACATACTATAGACTGGGTAATTTGCAAATGACAGAAATTTATTTCTCATGGCTCTTTTGTCTGTGAAGTCCAAGACCAAGGTATCAGCAGGACAGCTTCTGGTCCAGGATGCTCCCTGCTTCCAGGATGGTGTATTATTGCTGTATTTTCCAGAGGGGTGAAAGATGTATCCTTACATGCTGGAAGGGACAGAAAGGCAAAAAGAGCCTAAACTGGTTTTCTTCAGCCTTTTCAAGCACTAATCTATTTGTGAGGCTAGAACCACTTCCCAGAAGGCCCTGTCTCTTAATGCCACCATGATTGTGGTTAAGTTTCAACATACGAATTTTGGAGGGGACACAAACATGCATAGTCCCAATGTCAGGGTTACATGGTAGACCCTCACTAAATATTGGTTGAATGAATTCATACACAGGTAAGAACCAAAATATAAGGGGAACCTATGGGCTTTAAACTTTTTCACTGAGAAGAAAGAATGGCTGGTGTTCGGATCATTTGCCCAGGGATTAGCTTCATGAGGTGAAGTCTGAACAGACCACTCTAATTGACATCTCCCCCTTGTATACTATAGTCCATGGCAGGAGCCTGGGGAGGGGACTGTGTATTCCATGTGTGCTGTGTGAAGTGAGTATAGTATGATACTCACTTCACACAGTGAGTATATACTCCCTTCACTCCTGATAGCTATGCCTCGTTTCTTGGGACTAAGTGTGATCTAAGTTCCTCCTTTCTCTGACTCAACCTGACAGTGCTCCCACACTGCTGCTGGGAAGTATAGAATGTTGAGAATAGAGCTGCCTATTCTTGTTAAGATCATTCTACAGATGAGAGAGTTGAGCCCTCCCCCCACCCCGGCCAAAGCATCACTTGCCCCAGGACCCACAGCAAACTCAAGGCCAAGCTGTGTCTTATCGAATTTGTGCCACAGAACTCTTCTCTCCCACTGTACAACAAGAGCTGACAAACCCTGGTTGGTTCATGGTCTCCCCTTAGTTTCTACTAAGCATAGTGTGTATAGTGCAAACAAATATAAAATACAAATTTTTAAATAAAAAAATCTTAGCCAAGATTCAATAGTGGAAAAAAAAATGGACATGAATATAGATGGGAAACTATTTGGGGGGAGGAAGCAATGGGAGGTGAGAGAGGGAAAAGAGAGGGTGAGGAGGGGGATGTGATCACAGTACATCATATGCACGTATGAAAAGATCATAGTGAAGCCCATTTAAAAACTGAAAAAAAAGACTTAAGGGAGTTGGGGGAGAGGGGATAAGAAAGCGAAATAGAGGGGGTCAAAATGATCAGAGAATATTATATATACATATAGAAATGTCACAATGAAACCTATACATTGTACAATTAATATGTGCTAATAAAAATATGGAAAAAAGAAAAGATTGACTAGTGAATATTTCCTTCAAGTATTGGGAGTCCAGCTGGGGTTCAAGCAATACCACCTCTCTCTTTAGAGGATGTTCCTTAGTATTCTACAATTTCCACATTTTCTCTTTGAAGTCTGAAGTACATTTAGAATTCTTTGGAACAGAGTTTCTTACAGTCCTTGCAAAAGGTTCAGCTCTACCAAGCTGAAGTTACAAAACCCCGTGGCATGTGTACTTATAACTATTGCTTGGTTACCACTAGTGTGCATTTTCATATCTCACATCTGATTTTCATGTATATTCTCCTAAACCTTTATGTGCAAACAGTCCTAACAGGAAGTGAGAAAAATCAGTAGCAAAAGCAGAAAGCAAACAAACCAGTCCTGGTGTACAGGACTTGGGAATTTTAGGAGGGTCAGGTGGCAGCTATTGGTCACACAAGTTACACAAGCAAGGACTTGAGGATTGCACTGGAAATACAAAGCGGAGGGAGCGGGGGAAGAGAGGAAGCATTGAGACCCCCACACACAAAATCTTCTCTACAGATTCAGAACATTACAGAGATGCTCACCTTTTGAAAGCCTTGCTTTTCTCAAGTGGCCCCAGCAGCTGGCCCTGTGAGTGATGAAACACTGACTTACAGAAGACAGGAAGTCCTGAGATTCCCTGGGGCAGGGAGAAAGTTCTCAAAAGTCAAAGAAATAACCTGTGCCAACTGTCAGTTAGACTAGTCATACCATATACCAAGCATTGACCATATAACCACTTCCTTGCCAGGCCTCTCCTCCCCACTTGGAGCAGACATCAATCATGAGTTTGTTATTTTTCTCCATCATGCTTTTGGATGGCCAGATTCCAAACCAGCAGGCAGCAGCTGAACCAAGACAAATTTCTGATAGAGAAGGAGGCCTGGCTCACTGAGCCAGGCATGATACATGCCTTATCTAATACTTACCAACCTTCAGGACACACAAAAGATGGGCATCAGTTCCCTTTTCCATTAGAAGCTGGAGGTTCACAAAAGCAAAATAATTTTCCCTGGGCCATTTGGCAGTGACACAGCAGGACAGGTTTCTCTTCTACCCCATACTGGTCAAGAGGCACTGGGATCACAGCATGTGCAAGTGAATCCCACATCCAACGGGATGTTTGGCTCTACCTTGTCCTCCAGGTCACATACCTGAGTGGGAAAGGATGCATAGGCTGAACCTTCCACACAGATAGTGGGTGCAGGGGGCCGGTCCTACCTGTGCTCTTGCAGCCCCCAGAGCACAATTACACCACCTGATGACGCATATGTTCATCAGGTGTCAGCATCTCCCTGGCACCATGAAGAGTGTGTGACCAGGTGAGAGGGTAGGCACGCCTTGAAGGCATATCCAGGCTGAGGACAGTGCCCCACCCCCAGACAAAGCTGGGCTACTTCTCCCTTAGCATGGTTAACAATACTTCATTCAAGGAATGGAAATTCTTTTTAAGTTCACACCAAAACTCTGCATAGACAAGCAGCATCCCTGAGCAGGGCTCCTCCTTGGCAGGTAGCAGGTCAGTTACTGGGGACCCCCAAAGCCACCCCCAGCTCACCTCTTATCACTCTTCTCTAGTAGCCAGACTGGGATAATCTGGTTGTGGAAAAGGCTAACAAGTCCCAAGGAGAGTCTCTTTTGTCTCTCCTCTACCATTGTCCCCCAGATGGCCTTTCTCCATGGCCTTCATCCATTCCAAACACATTATGGAAGAGGCAGAAAGAGCAGAAACTGTTCTGATCTAGCCTGGAACTGGACCCCAACCATGTGATTTCCCCAGCACCATCTCTCTGTTGAGAAGGCACCAGCACATCGTCCCTGTCTCACACGTGCTGTCTTTCAGCTTGCACTCCACGCAAGCACCAGACAGCTCTCTTGCATGCAAATATGAACTTTTCTGTCCAGATCTGCAGAACCATCTCTGTCAGAGTTTGGGGTTTGTTTTCTTAATTAACTGGAAATGCTAACATGGGAGCCCAGGAGCTGGCAGGGGCCTGGCCTTCAGTGGCTGCTAGAAAAAATTCTTGCTTTGAAATCTGGATCTCTCAGGCCCCACACAGGATGTCAAAACAAACAGGGACACTTGATCATGGGGCACCAGGGGCCAGAGTGGGCTCAGGTTACAATGCCAGTGATGGATTTAGCTATAGGACGCTTCAGTGCCCAACAGGTGATGAGATTCTGATTTCCCAAAATGGTACAACTGAACCCCAAAAAGGCCCCTGCTGCAGCCTGGGCTCAAAGGGAAAGACAGAGAGGTCATCTGGGTTTATGCCAACAATGTACTTTGGCAGGCACAGAGCAGGGGGTAAGAGAGGCAGCAGATATAGATAATGTCCTGTTGATTCCTACCCTTGAGCAGACAAAGTTAAGGACAAATTATTCAAATGTAGCCTAAAAGGTCACTAGTGAGGCATGCACAAAGTAATGGAGTCACAGGGAAGAGGAGGAAGTCACTGTGTTGGGGAGGATTAAGAGGTGGAAGGGCACATCTGACCTGAATAGGGGTCAAACTCCTAGGAGTTGATAGCAGATAGGACACAGAAGGTGGAGGAGGAAGAAAAGCATTCCAGGTGGAGGAGACCACAAAGACAGAAGCTAGGTGGCAAGAAAGAGAGGAGCATGTTCAAGGAGGTACCTTGTGGCTAGACAGGCACAAGAAGATACTCCCTCAAGTGTAGAAGTGGTGGAGCCCATTATGCTCCGGCAATGGGGAGCTAGACAAGTTTTTCAGCAGAGGCTGACTCTATCCTGGTCAGGGGTTAGCAAACTGTGGCCCACAAGCTAAATCTGGCCCATGTCTGCTTCTGCAACTACAATTTCACTAGAACCTAGTCAGTGAAATTGTTAATGGCTGCTTCTGGGCTGCAACAGCAGAGCTGAGTAGTGAGACAGAGACCTTGTGGCCTCCAAAGTCAAAAACTTTACTGTCAGGACCTTTGGAGGAAATGCTTCCTGACTCCTGGTAGACAAGGACACCCAGAGTGATTTCCCAGGCTCAACTGAACACAGAGAGTGCAGACATATTGATGCATCAGGCAGAAATGGGTATGATCATAGCCACCTCATGGCAAGACTCAAAACCTCAGCAACAGGAAGAAAACAAGGAGATGGACAAAGAAGAGGAGCTTCAGGTCCTGAGCTCCTCATCAACTGCCTGTATACTGGTGGGGTATCTCATCCAGAAGGGGTTCTGGTTGCCCAGCACCATCTAAAGGTTATGGAACCAGACCAGCACAATCTGCCCTGGATCCTCTCAGGGTGTCCAGGCCTGAATCACATCCACAGTTCCCTACATCGAGGATGGCACTATAGCCATTTCATCTAACAGCTGGGCCCCACTGGGGATAAGTCGGAAGTTATGAATGACTGAAGAGCATAGCTCTTGCAGAGGAAGTCACACAGTGTTCCAGGGAGGCCTATACTCCCCCTCCCCAGCCTCAGCTCAAGCCATCCCTTCTGCAAGGCCCAGAGAAGAGCAATGATTTGTGAAGGTCAGAGATACTGTACCAGAAGTAGAGCATCTGGATACAATTTCAGGGGGTCTTCCTTTCTCCTGACTGGCCCATTCTTCTCTAAGTCTCTGGCCTAGGCCCTTCCTGAGCCTGATGCAAGGTTCAGATCCTGCTTTGCCCAGCACAGTCCAGTTTGCCCCAGGAAGAGGGGGCAAGGAGGGAGGATGTTGTATCATGTCCTCTTACTGTACCTTGCCCTTCCTACAGTAGAATCAATGTAGCCTTTCTGAAACTTTGGGACTCTGGGGCCTTCTGAGTATACAATGCAGAACCCAGTTTAAGAAACAAAGCATTCAAAAGTTAAACACTGTCATTTTAGGAAACCACCTGGTGCCAACTTGCACAGAAACACAAACTTGGAGGCTAAAATCTCATGCCAATAGTAGTTAATGGTGGTCATTCCATTGGTTCAGAATTTTTAGATTATTATTAAAATGAAAACAAAATGTATCATTTCTCAAGGAAAAGGCTGTTCTCCAGCAGAGTTCTCAGACCTTGGAGAAAACATTCACACACTCCCCCCAGGGCTCTCTGGGCCCGTGTGAAAGACCCTGAATGAAGAGGTTCAATTATTGGTTCTCTAATTTACTAGCTCCTGTATCCTTAGGCAAGATCTTCAACATTTGAGCCTCAGTTTCTGCATCTGTAAAATTTACAAAACTAATCATGACTCAAAGAATCCCTGCAAGCATTAAATGAGATGACAAGTCTTTGGCACAATGATTCGTGCATTCAAGGCACAGAATAAATGGTGACTGCCATTGCATTTTTGTAAAGATGCTTTACTCCCATATACAAGATACTCTCCAGATCTTCACACCCTCTCAATTACTTCCTGGGATTTTCTGTCTTGGTAAGTCCCCAGCACAGAGCAAGGCACAAAGAGGAACACAGAAAACATCCATCAGTGTATAATTCCCCAAAGAGCTTCTTTGATGTGGAAACCCTGACTTTGGTGGATGCCAGGGCTGAGGCTGTTGTTATATTCAGTCTTCCCCAGGGGAGGACACCTGTTTAGCACAGATTCTAGCCCTCTAAAGTGTACCTGGGCACTCAAGGACAAGGAACTCACCTGTGTCCATACCACAGGAAATGGGGCTGGGGGACCATTTGCTTTGTGCAGTGGGTGGGGGTGGTAATTTAACCCCATTTCCCCTGAGGCATAGACCTCTCACCCATTCCTTCTCATGCCAGCTCTGACAGCGTGGGCCTCTCCCTGAGGCCGTGTTCCCAGGCTTCAGCAACAACAGGCCCTCCATTCTTCCCTGCCCTTGGCAGACCTGCCCCCCCACTATGACACTGCCTGCCACTGCTATGGGCAGCTGAACCCAGTGGAAGAGGAAAACAACATAGACCTCCTCAGAGCCTGGGGAGCCAAGCCCAGGGCCTAGTCTGTTCCCTTGTCCCCAGAGGAAGAGGAATTGGCCTGAATCCCCTGCTGAAATAGATCATAGGATCATTCACTTCACCCTCAGCCTGCAAATGTCATTAGGCTTCAGGCATCTTTGCAAACAGCCCTTATTGACCACACTGTGTTTTCTCCAAATGAGGAAAAATCTGGCATTGGCCTCCTCCCTGATCTTTACTCCTTGGGCCAGGCTCCAGCTGTGTCCAGATGTCAAGCCTCAAATCCCTGCCACAAGGGTGACAATCACTGGGAGGAGAGGCCAGGGCTATCCCTAAGTCTAAGGCTTACTACCCACTAGGAATCCCAGCTCCCACTTCTGTCTTCTCCTCACAATTGCCCATCGGATCCCATGGGCCAGAATCACCAGGACTCAGCTTCAAATCTGCAATCTGCAGTCAAGGGAAGAGGATGAAATGGTGGTTTCTTTCACTTACCAAGTTTATCCATCTATTTTACAACTTTCTTTTTAGGGCTCCTGAGCTCAGTCCTCAAGAATGATCCTCTTATATCCCAGAGCCATAGCTGGGTGGTAGGAGCCCAGGGCCACAGTGGGGGGCTGTGGAAAGGGAGTCCTTCTGGGGGCATGGATTCCTGGGAGATGTACACTTGACTGGAAGCAACCCTCCCTCCTCTGGAGGCTCCAGCTCTCAAATCCAGCCCAGGAGGGTTCCAGCTGCAGCCCAACTCAGCACCCAGCAGGGGAGGAGGGGTGGCTGTGGAGTCCACAGTATGCTGTGTGACTGCCTCTCTTAAAGAGACAGCCTGCTCAGAATTGGAGTGGAAACTCTAAGAAGGAGAATAAACCAATGTTCTCTAGGGGAAAGCCCTGAACAGGCACCAGCACAGTGGCAGAAACCGCCTAAGGATGACAAGCTTGTCCACCCTCCTGATACGTGGGACACTGAGGCAGAAAGCCCCTTCTCCAGAGGATAGATTCTCCTCTGCAGCTCTAGTACAGGGCCGGATCTACCCAGACGGCAGTGCAAGCAGCACCTGGAAACAATCATGAAGACCTCATGGTGTGTGAGGTACCTACCTAAGTGCTCTGCAGACAAGAACTGAGTTAGACACCACAGGAACTTCAGGGGTTGGAGCTGTTATTGTTGTTGTTGTTCCTGTTCTATAGATGTGGAAGCTGAGGCCTGGGGACAATAAACTGTCAAAGTTTCACAGGAAATGAGTGACAAAGTTAGGACTGAATGAAAGCAATTGTACTGGAACTCAGCCATCAGCTTCTTGGAAAGCTACACTGTGTCAATCTGCAGCTGCAATGGGCCACCCAACAAGGTCAGGTCCATGGCTTAGAACAAGTGACCTGCAAGATGAAGGTGTTTGCCCTCAAAGTGATTGCTGGAAGGAAATGCCCCGGTTCCCAATACAGATACCCATCCTATCTGGGAAAGTAAAATTTCTTTTTCTTTTTTTTCCCCTCATCTTTACAGTTTTCTGTATTATATTCTAAAGCAGTCATTCTTTATAAAGAGAAAATAAGATAGAGTTTGCTTTCTAACTCCCAACCAAATACATCAAACAAACATCAAACAACCCAGACTAGACCAAAAAGATATATGTACCCTAAGTAGACATTCTAAGTTGAAGGAGAGTACCAAAACCAACAGGACAGTACACTGGAACTGTGAATAAACCTATTTGACTTCAGGTTTGCCTGTTACAGATATGGGGGCAGGTTTCAAATAAAATTAAAACAATGGAATTTTCTTTCAGCCAAAACAGAAATTAAAAGTTTTTTAACCCAGTAATTTAAAAATTGAGTTAAGTCCAAATTGCTCATATGTTATTAAGACCTTCATAATTGTTCACCACTCCCTCTAAAGCTTTCCCCTCACTTTGTCCCACCCACTCCACCCAGCAACCAGGCCCGACCACCAGAGAGAGGTTCCCATGAGTTGCTCCAGCTCTCTGCTATTTGCTCAGGCAGCGCCCGCAGCCATGGATGCCCCTTTCCTCTTCCTGTGAGGATTTTTCAAGACCAGTCCTAAATGACTGAGAAGAAACCTCAAACCCCCAAAGCAGAGCTGATTACTCCCTTCTTTGACCTCACAAGTTTTGCCCTGTGCTGTGGTCTGAATGTCTGTGCCCCCAGAATTCATATGTGGAAGTCTAATCCCCAGTGTTATGGTATTAAGAGATGAGGCTTTTGAGGGTGTCTGGGTCATGACGGTGAACCTCTCATGAATAGAATTTGTGTGTCTGTAGAACCCCAGACAGCTGCCTCACCCC